AAGTAAACAGTATTTTAAGTTAATTTCCTTTAGTTAACTTTTTTTTTTGCTGCTAATAAGGGTAAAGGTCGATTCTCACAATACCATCCGTTTCCATTCCATATCCATTCCATATCCTTTTCGTATTTTTGATTGCATTCACGCTATACATCTGCTTCCGTTCCATATCAGTTGCATACTTTTTATTGTAGAATTTATATCATTACGAAAGTTTTATTTTAATAATTTGTAACTTTTGCAAAATGTAATAGATTTAATTAAGGGGTGAAAGAATAAAATAAATATCAGCAAAATGTTCACAGAGCTGGCACAAATGTAAGAATTTGACTACGCTCTTCCGCTCTTTCCGATACACATCACTTGTGTCTAGCCCTAGCATGCAACTGTTAAGCCCGACCAATCACGTTAGAGTTATTGACAAACACGAATGAATTAACACACTCCAAATAACCACGCTAACCAACCTGATTGGTCAAGCTTAATAGTTGACTGCTAGGACTATACACTATACACATCAGTCTTTGCGCCAGAATATTGTATGGAAGGGAAAGATATGGAATGGAAGGGAAACGGACCGGATAGTGTGCATTGTACTATTCATTTACATGATATATTTTATGTAAATGGAAGGGAAACGGAAGGTAGCTGATTCGGAGGTATAGTGGCATTCTTAAGATAAATATATCATGAGTTGATCAATTTTCGTAGCTTTTTTCATAAAAAATTGCATACGCTCTATCATTCTAGCGCTTAATATCGACTAGTGGCGTAACTTAACAACTGGGGGTCTCGTTGCAAGATATTTTTGGTTAGGTTAGGTTAGGATATAGAAATTAATGTATATTTTTGTTAAATATTTTTTTGGAAGGCTCTGCGGGGCTCCAAGTTCCTGTGGGTCCCCGGTGCTTCACACCGCACTGCCCTATGAGAGTTACGCCACTGGTGGGGTAATATCAATCACAGAGTCGGGTTTGAAAAATTCAAAGAAGTAAGACTCTTTTTACGTTTTTGTATGCCTTTTGTGTTTTAGCAACAGAGATACCGATCTAAAGTTTATTTTAATGTTAACATATATTTTAATTACTTTATTAGTGTTATATCAATTATCTCAATTTTCATAAATTTCCATTATAATCACCAAAGTAAAATTTAAATAATTCTCATCAAGAACAATTCAAATAATTAAATAAGGTAAATACATACTAGTTTAAACAGTAACGTGAGATGCATGTTGTATATAGTTTATTTTATGCTTGTCGCAGGAATGCTTTATTTTTTTATTGATATCATATATTTTTATTTCTATGTATTCTACAAGCTATTTTTATAAATATTCCTGTTTACAAACTGACATTGTATAACAATATAAATTGCAAATTCGAAGTAAATTGTATTCTGCATAAATAGTTTTCATTTCCGGGAAAAATTAAAATCAATATCAAACAATTTAAATCCCATTAAGATAGTTGTATCAAGGTAGGGTGTAGTTATGATATAATTATATTTGTGCCTAATTCACTATTTTGCAACACTAGAGAATTAGAGCATTGCATAGTACCTTAATTATTAAAAAAAATATTGCATTTTTTATGTTTTAATATTTACATTTAACATAAAAGTAGGTATGTTGAATGTTTGTTTTTATTTTAGAATTTAAATAGTTTGGTAGGTATGTGTAATATTAAAAAAAAATGCTGGTAAACCCCAATGTAAACTCATATGTCATGAAAAACCCAAATTTAAAAATACCTTGCATTCATACTACTATTACTACAAATATTAGTGCACTCTGGATCTGGGACCCTATTCTGTATCTTTTTCGGTTTCGGATCCGAAAATTCGATTCGGTTCGCTACCGAACGATGGAGCTGCCGAATGTTACGTTTAGTTGCGAGCATTGCGATTCTGTATCGTTTTTCGGTAACCGTTCGGTTCGGTTTCGAAGCAACCGACAAACAATCATAATTAGAGCATGACAGTAGGGCGTGATAGTGACAGTGACGCTTTCAAATTTTGCTTTTTATAACGCTTCTGTTCAACTTTTTCTAAAGGTTTGAGGATAAGTGATGATGACAGATTTACAGGTAAATAAGATCTTTTTTCCAGAAGGAGTAACTAATATTAAATATTCTTTTAGGCACCGAAGGGAATCTGTGTGACTATGCAGCAGAGAGAAGCCTCGCTTCGCTTTGTATAAGTACATGAAAATTTTGCAGAAAAAAAGGAGAATACTCGCTGTTGAATCTTCTTTGGCAATATAGAAATAGAAAAGGGAATCAGTTGCTGTTCAGAATACAGCAACTGCCATTGCGAATATAATGAAGATGTGAATCTGATAAACAAATATACTTTTAAAATATACATAGTGTACAGAAACGTAAAATATACTTTTTTATGAGGATAAGGATTTTGTGGCTTCATTCTCTGTGTATATGATTAATAGTTCATTTTTTCTTTTCAGGCTACAAGACGTCGTCGTGAGGATGTGGGTTGGAGAAATAGTGAATTTTTTTTTATTCAATTTTGTTTAATATAATGTTTATACCTAATAATGTATAAAACAACATTTTTAGAATTATTTTATATTAAAACTTGTGTTAAAACTTAATTGTATTCATTCTAAATTGAAAAAGCCCCTAATAAATAATCACAATATAAATGTAATAAAATACAACATTTTAATAAAACGAAAGTATATGTTTGGTACTCTTTTTAGCCCTTTAACCAACATCTGCGCTCTGATTATATCCATATTCCTGACAAATACTACAAATTTTTACTTTATTCAACACTTTACATCTATCATTCCTACTATTTAAATTATAAATTCGAGTGTATCGTAAATAAAACCTTTGCAATAACACGCAAATTCTAGCCCTTTTTCGAAACTATCAAACCCCTGACAGAAAAATGTATTGTTGAATAGAATAATTATTATTAGTTACCAAGACAATTAGAGCTTTGGGTAAGGGAACTGAGGATTCGATAGGGTTTTCGTTCGGTTCGGAGCTACGGACTAGCTTTATGTGCTACCCAAAGGTGCTACCGAATCGAATATGTCGTCACAACCGAACAAATTCTACCGATCGGTAAAATCCTTACAGAATAAGGCCCCTGTTCTCGAACCGAATTCGGCTGAGGACAGGTTCAGACTTTATTATATAGCAGCTTGTCGACCCCTGGTATAGCGTAATAAATCACTAGTTCACCACAATACACAAAAACTCTTCATTTGTAACAACTTACTATACTTTATTTGACAGGTGACATACACTAGACGGGTGCGTTTTGCTAACCATGTTAGGCAACCTTGGCAGTTGATTAAAACTCAAAGTTTTAATCAATGACTAAAGAATATAAGGACATGTAACGCCCCTATACGGGCTGCAGCAGAATTTGTGACCTTAGACGCCTTTTCTTTTGCTGGCAAACAATGAGTCATCAGTTGGTCACCAGCGACAATTTTAGCAAATTTTAATAGTTCGTGTGTAGTGAACTTTGTATAAACTTTATTACAATCCTGATTAGTTGTTCACCTTTCAAATGTAAAACCAGCAGTGACAAGAAAGAGCCAGGAGTTACGTTTCATAGGTAAATAAACAGTCCGCTCCACCTTTTTAGCGTTTTCTTAAGTTTTCTTATTGAATTCGATAATTATTTTTCTGATATTATATGTACTTGATGTGTGCTATACGTCGATACTAGTTTTGTACCTTTTGTTAACATTTTAATACGTTTTTTTCGTAATTAATTAGTATGATGCCACCGCCTACATCATAGGCGTAGTCAAAACATTTATCAAAAATATAAATATCCCTTCAACTAGCTAAGTTAAGAAAAAAATATGGCCACGGCACTGTTTGGTGCCATGGTAACAATTTGCTCTCGGGTTTTATTTGTCCTTGAATTCTTTAGTCATTGGTTTTAATCATCTGCTGATGATTAAAGCTGATATTACCCCACTATATTCTATTTTTATGGTTTTGCTTATGGTTTTGCTAAAATAATATTTGTAGCATTTTTATGACTACACTGTATATCATTTAATTAAATATTGCAAAAAATCTTACTCTATACTTAATAGAGTAAGACTTTTATAAAAATACAAGTAACTTATTTGCATCACTATTTTTTTAGTATTTCAGTTACGTTATCTATAACACAACTAGTTTTTATAATAATGAAAATCAACTATGAACATCTAAATATATTAATTTTTGATACAAATTCCTACTACTAATTATTATAAATATTAATAACACATTTTTTACACTTCTTCAAAACAATTCTAATTTTTAAAATGATTTTTCTGGGCAAAAAGTGCTCGCGTTTACTTGACAGGGCAAACAAACTTTTCAGAATAAAAAATTATAATTAAAAAAATGTGACAAATGTCATAGTTAAAGGTGGGCGACTAATAAACGAAAATTAAAACAGCATTTTCTTATTATTTGGTTGTAGATAAAACGTTGTACATGACACGTGCGTTTAAACATGATTACAACACTCGTGTGATTAGAACGACTCGGTCTACGCCCTCGTAGTTCTAATCGTTCACACTCGTTGTTGTAATCATGTTCATAAACACACTTGTACTGTAAATAACTATTAATAATCATTTGCTCTGAAAATGGTATTTTTGACAAAAATATTTCAAAACAGGATGTTCCTTAATGACATGCTAATATTTAAGAGGGTGATTTTTGGACCTATTCTAACAGAAAAACTTATGAAAGTGTATTATAATCATCTTAATTTCTGAGATACAGAGTGGTAAAATTCTTAAAAAAAGTATTACACCGCTGATTTCTCTTTAAATGAAAATTATTTTCGAAATCTCCATTCAGTTCTAAACATTTTTTATCTCTTGATTTTTTCGTCAGATGCATGCTTAAAAAAAATAAAGTCAGTTTTCTTCAGGGCCCAATCGCTAAAAATGCTGATGACTATTATGCGGAAAACATTTCTGCATCTGGAATCTGGAAGAAAACTAAGAAATAAAACAATTTTTTTATATAAAAATAAGCATTTTGATGCGTGGAAATCGTGTATCAAATCACCAGAGATATAAAAAAAACTAGAAAATATTACCACCCTGTATCTGAAAAGTTAAGACGATTAGGACATATTATATTCATATTAAGTTCTTTACTTAGAATAGGTCCTGTATAGTAGTAAAAGGTAGGAATACCCTGTATAGTAGTAAATATCCATCATAAATATCCACATTGAATCAGAGACAAATTGAATTTAAATATGATTTAAATATTTTTTCCATAGCAACTGTTAAAATTGCCTTATATCTATCAAAAATAGTAGATAAAATAGTACTTTAACCGCAAGAGTAGATTAAATAATACTTTAACAGCGAGGATAGGTGAAAAACTTTATTTCTTCTCCCACGTTGTTTAATTGTTTCCATTTTTGAAAATGTTTGTATAAGTTATTCGGGATTTAAATGGAAGTAGTTTGGATATGGCGTTTGTCGCCTCAGCCTGGATATCTGTTGGTAATTTACTTATTCCGTTTTGAGCCATTTCTGGCTCCAATTCAATTAGCAATCGACACGAAAGATAATTAAAAAATATTGACTCAAAACTGACAACTAAAGAGACAGCTTTATTTATTTGTCAAATTACATAGAAACCAACGCCAACCCAGCACAATATTTTTTCTACTCGTAATAAATTCCTTGAAATAATAATTTCTGAATATTTTTTAAAACGCAACTCGCTATGGAAAAAATATTGTTTTATACACGACGATAAAATTGCATTATCGTCTCCCGAAATTAATTCACTCGCGATTTCATCGCTCGTGAGTTAATCTCTTCAGTCGACGATAAAATACCATTTTATCGTCTTGTATAAAAAATAACTATGAGTTCATTTTAAGCTAAGTATTATTGGTACGAAAGAAATGAAATTTGCCTTTTATTTGAGTGCCCGTACTTATTGCGTTTTTGTTTAATATCATTTTTATACTTTATACGCTTATAACAGCTGCAAATTCTGCATGTTTAACTAGCGCTCACTAAAAATTCTGCAGCATTAGCTGAAGTGATATAAATGCATTATTCTATGAGCATTATCCGCAATAAAAAGTAATAAAAATATTAAATTAAATCTAAATGAATTTAAATACTAGCTTAATAGATTATTATTCACAAAAGTTTTAAACAAATATTTAATATGCAGTTCTCAAAAAAAGATAGTTTATATAGTGTGGTTATATTCAAAAATGTCTTAAGTTTTGGGATGGAATTTTATAATATTTGTAGTAAATTTTGTTTGAAGAACTGAAACAAAAAACGGACATACATAAATTAAACTTTAATTAAGCTTACCTAAAAATGGACTTTTAAAAATCCAATTTTAGACAATGTCTGGATTTATACCAAAAATAAAAACATTTAATTCTAATTAGCTATTTTATACAGAATGTGCAAATAGGAAAGAAAATTAGCCAATTTAATATTAAAATAAAAACAATAAAAACAAAGTATAATATAATGTACAACAACTTCTATTGTTTATAACAGCTTTACATTATCGAGGCATACCTCTAATTAAGTTGTCTATCTCGTTTTGGTTAATTTGTTGCCACTCCTCTCTTAAACAATTTTCCAGCTCCGCTCTGGTTTCGAACACGATTGCACGATTCAAAACACGCCTTTGGAACACATCCCATACGTGCTCTATAGGATTTAAGTCAGGAGATTGGGGAGACCACGGCAACAGGGTCTAAAGGTGTGGTGATTCAAAAAAAGCCTCACGGTTTTCGCTACATGCGAACGTGCATTATCCTGCATTAAAACAAATTCTTTCCCGATTTCTACTGTCTGAGGAAAAGCAATGGTTTAAAGAAATGTCGTGTCATGACAAGCATCAGCCGTTAGAAACCCCTCAACAAAAACGCGATCAGTGCGTCGGCCAATACCCACTCTAGCCCAAACCATAATTATACCACACTGGTGCCGATCCACTTCATGGCTGGTTGGAGCAGAATTTCTTGGCCGTGTGCATATCCTTATTCTTCTGGAATTTGGCATCAAACCAAACTTTGATTCATCAGTTTCAATCATTTTTGGTTTCCAAGATACTCATGATAACGTCAAATTTCAAACCCCCTATAAAAGTTGGGTCAAATTGGACACTTTTAAAGGGAAACACGTATGTATTTTTATGAAAATATTTTCCAAAGCTCCTTTTTACGTAGAATTTAATAGTTCAAGTATAATTTTTTTAAAATTAATAATTTAAGAGTTATTAACAGAAAAGTTGATTTTATATTTGGGACACCGTGTATATTTTTAATTAAGTGAAAAGAACTTAAGATTAACTTTGTATTTCATACTTGATATTTTGTTATAGTCCTCTTCGAAATACAGAATTTTTAAAAGTTCACCACTTTTAACTATAGTAGCACAGAATATCTATAGCTATACAGGGTGAGCCTTAAATAAGTGCAAATATTTTCAGGGCTGATAGATCTAGATAG